CTTTATTTCTATGTCTGTCTGTCTTTCTCTATCTATTTTTATTTCTATGTCTGTCTGTCTTTCTCTATCTCTCTATCTGTCTATCTAGCTTTCTGTGTATCTATATCTATCACTTTCTCTTCTCTCTCTCTCTCTTCTCTTCTCTTCTCTCTTTCTTCTTTATACATATCGGCTCAGTTTTTATTTTCTCTTTATGATGTGTCTGTCCTCGCACCATGCTCTTTTCGTCTCTCTATTTCTCTGTCTCTCTCCTCTCTCCTCTTTCTCTCTCTCTCTCTCTCTCTCTCTCTCTCTCTCTCTCTCTCTCTCTTCTTCTCTCTCCTCTCTCTCTCTCTCTCTCTCTCTCTCTCTCTGTCTTCTCTGTCTCATCTCTCGTCTGATCGTCACTCTCTCTCCTCTGCTCTCTCTCTTCTCTCTCTCTCTCTCTCTCTCTCATCTCTCATCCTCTCTCTCTCTCTCTCTCTCTCTCTCTCTCGCTGCCCTCTTTGCGTGTGTAACTTTAACCTAAATCTATCAAGAACTTTATTATAAATCTATTTGTACGTCCTCTTATCTATCCATTCCTTTTTCTTACCCCCCTCCTCTTCTGCTTCCTTGCCCCTTTTTTCCTACCTCCGCTTCTAATGCCTTCCTTCCTTCCCTTCCTCCCTGCTTCCCAAATTTTCTTCCATCCCCCCTACCTCCCCATTCTTCCCTCCTTCCCTGCTTCCTCCTTTTCTTCCTTCCTTCCTTCCCTCCCCTCCTCCTTTCTCCTTCCCCTCCCTCTTCTTTCTTGCCCATTCCCTATCCCGTTCCTTCCCTTCCCCTCCCTTCCTTTCCCACTCTCTTCTCTTTTCCTCCTTCTTCCCTCCCTTCCCCCCCTCCTCCCCTCTCCTCCCTCTCTTCCTCCCCCTTCTTCTTCCCCTCCCTCGCCGCCCCTCTCTTGCCCTTCCCCTCCCTCCTTGTTTTCCATTCTTTTCCCCCTCCCTCCCCTTCCCCTCTCCTTCCTCCCTTCCCCTCCCACCCCTTCCCACCTTCCTTCCCAATTCTTCCCCTTCCTTCCCTTCCTCCTCCTCTCTCCTTCCCCTCCCTCCACCTTCCTCCCTCCCCTCCTCCTTCCCTCCATCCCCTCCCTCTCCCTCACTATCCCCATCTCCCCTAACACGTCCTCATCCTGGTCCTCTCGCTTCCTCGTGGAATATCCTTCACCCTCGATCTTCCTTCCTTAGCGAGGCAAGACGGACGAGAAGGATGAGGAGGATTCGGGGTTTGTCTCCTCCGCCTTCTGGCCGACAGGGACCTCCGCTCCGCACCTTCGGGAGGAACTGCAGCGCAGCGGTTGCTCTTTGTGGGGAATATAGATTGTGTAAATGTATAATATGTGTATGTGTGTATATATNCAACTACCATATATGGCAAATGTTATTCTCATACACCATAAATTACAACAAAAAGCAATACTTAGAATATATATTGTGGAAGAAAAAAATATTCAGAGAGATGTTCTTTCCTCATTCCTACCTTTTTTTCATAATGTGCAAGGTTCATGTTTATTTGGTTAGAACAGGGTAAACATTGTGCCCTCACGTAATGACCAGATCCAGCACAGTTATTTTTTTTAGATGAAGAGATAGCAGAGACTTTCACGTGATGACCAGATCCACAGCAGTCTATTTTAGATGAAGAGATAGCAGAGACTTTCACGTGATGACCAGATCCAGCACAGTCTTTTTTAGATGAAGAGATAGCAGAGACTTTCACGTGATGACCAGATCCAGCACAGTTTTTTTAGATGGAGAGATAGCAGAGACTTTCACGTGATGACCAGATCCAGCACAGTCTATTTTTAGATGAAGAGATAGCAGAGACTTTCACGTGATGACCAGATCCAGCACAGTTTTTTAGATGAAGAGATAGCAGAGACTTTCACGTGATGACCAGATCCAGCACAGTCTATTTTAGATGAAGAGATAGCAGAGACTTTCACGTGATGACCAGATCCAGCACAGTTTTTTTAGATGGAGAGATAGCAGAGACTTTCACGTGATGACCAGATCCAGCACAGTCTTTTTTTAGATGAAGAGATAGCAGAGACTTTCACGTGATGACCAGATCCAGCACAGTTTTTTTTAGATGGAGAGATAGCAGAGACTTTCACGTGATGACCAGATCCAGCACAGTCTTTTTTTAGATGAAGAGATAGGCAGAGACTTTCACGTGATGACCAGATCCAGCACATTTTTAGATGAAGAGATAGCAGAGACTTCACGTGATGACCAGATCCAGCACAGTCATGACACCAGATCCAGTCTTTTTTTAGATGAAGAGATAGCAGAGACTTTCACGTGATGACCAGATCCAGTACAGTCTTTTTAGATGGAGAGATAGACTTTCACGTGATGACCAGATCCAGCACAGTCTATTTTTAGATGAAGAGATAGCAGAGACTTTCACGTAATGACCAGATCCAGCACAGTCTATTTTTAGATGAAGAGATAGCAGAGACTTTCACGTGATGACC